TTCGGCCACGTAAGAGCCTTAACATTGACTACTGTAGGTCGAATTGGAATTACAGAATCCTGTCCCGGGCCATGAACCTCCGTAGCTGCACTGGAGTTCAGTTGTATAGGATTAACAGAGTTTATCAACCGATAAATCAACCTATACTGAATTGCTATTCCGACACTAGAAGCCATCAAGTCTTCTAAACCTAAAGTATTAATTCGAAGAACCATAATCCGTTTAAGATTGGGATCCGTGAGACTAACCATATATCCTGGCTTAACAGTCCCATAGGCATCCCCCAAGGCTAAATTAACGTGAAAATCGCCAACTAAAGCTTTACTAAACGTAAACCATCGTCTGTCCAGTAAAGCCACCTAAACAGGTACATTCATTCCTCCATGAAATAGTCCTTGTACACGAATCTGTACAGCACCAAGTTTTACATAATTGTACTTGCCATTTGCCCGTTTGGCAAGATGTTTAACCTTCTGTAACCACTCATTGTCTGAGAGTATTACTTCACCCTTTCGAGACTGAGATAAAGCTGCACGAACGGGTTTTTCGTGTACATCTTCCAAGCCTTCAACTTTGAATAACCACTTAGAGCGTTTTTCAAAAACTTCTCTAGGTGTTAACCTCGGAATTACCCAATTTTTTGGGCTACTCGAGTGATCCTCGTAATTAGATGATGAACTAATTACCGAGTTAGGATTTTCATCTTCATTTCTAATTGGGATAAGATCATCCTCATCACCAATTTCGCTACTCCTAGGATATTCATTAAGACTACTTGTCTTTTGCATGAATATACCTATGCGTTAAAGATTCGAAGATTGATCCTCAAAAGAACTAGCTTTTGAGTCATCCTCTGAAGAATCTAAATCTTCAGAGTAATCCAAAACTAATTCATAAACTTCATCATCTGAATCAATTTCGTATCCCCAAACTGGCTCAAATTCAGAAGTTTGGCTGTCCGCTTTGATTTCCAAAAATCGTACCGTTGTCTTCTTCTTATCCTTATGAGGGCATTTATCCGTAAAATGATTTTTGTCACCACAAATCCAACAACAATTACAATCTTTTGCGTTTTTGCCAGATGGGCAGGTAGCACAAAACTTACGCGCTCCGCGTTCTTTAGCATTGAGTCTACCTTTCCTTGTTCGCCTAATAAACCTTCCATGATCCGGAAGATTTCGTTTATTAGTAACAGATCTTTTTCGTTTCATACGGGTTTTCCAACCTTGATGTTTAGTCGAATTCCTCGACTCACAGCCATATTGTCCTGGCACACCATCAAAGTTTTGACAACAAGATTCGTTGAACTCAAGCCTTTTTGCTTCCTTATTTAGCTTGGCATTCAAACATTTTGTCCTCACGAGTTGTCTAACAACTTCTATTATTCCTCCCAAAGAATCAACAACCTGATTCTTTTCAAGTAGAAGTTTAAATGCCTCGTTTGTTGCCTTATCCCATCCTTGGGGAAACTTAGAAAAGAAAGTATTCTTCATAACTTCTTGTGTACCACCAGGCAACTAATAAAAATAACGTCTATATTCACAGTCGAAATTTTCAAACAGACACATGTCACAAAGCCTAAGCTTCTAAGGTAACTACCTCTGCGAGATTCCTACTAGTAATAGTTATCCCAGTAAATTCCCTATAGAGCATATCCTTGAAAAGTGCAAAAATAGCCTCTGCATTTTTCAAGTCCCTTACAGTATCTAACAGTCCTATACCAGCTTCTAGACTTCTTCAAAAGCTTCCTGCAGCACCCTGCAGTGTGGATCTTAGAAACCTGTAAGTATCACTAAGTCCAAAATTCTTATTCTGCACATGAACCCAGTTAGCAGTTTCCCATGCTTCGATTGCATCCGCAACATTCGTAACACAATCTATGTTTAGGAAAGTTCCACTAGACGGTATCTCCACCATTTTAGGTATTCCCCTAGGTATAAATTCTGACCTTATCCTTGTGGGATAAGTAGGTTTATATTCGGGTTTGGAGATTTCCTTAAGAAATCCTTCGAAAGAATTTAAAGGATTACGAATTCCTTCAAGGGGATCATCTTTAAACTCAGATTCCCTGAGTCTTGAGATTAGCTCATCGAGCTCCACCTTTTTAGGACCTAGAGTAATTTTTGATCCTCCAGTTTCTTCTCCTTTCCTTTGTTTCTTCATTTCTTCCTCATAATACTTGCTGATTCGTTCAGCATCCGAGGTAGAAATTTCTGGAATATCAACCTTCCGTTTTCCATCCATTTTAGAAACAAAGTCTTCTTCCTTAACACCTTTCATAAAGAGGTTTTCCGCCTTTTCCCAATCACCTTGGGTTTCCTTGGCTACGAACTGTGCATATCCTGGAGGCAATCCAGGGTATTTTTCCTGCAGACTGGCCGCAAACTGATCCAGAATGTCCTGACCTCCCATGGTCAATCTGAATCAGGTCTTAACTCAGTCGCAAAGTCCGACTCTTTATATGGTTCAGGATTTAGATCCGGCTGGGATTCATCGTACCAATAAGGAATTACCGCCTCAGCTTTTTCCAACCACTTATTTCGAAGTTCCAACTCGGCAACTTCAATGGTTGAAATCCGACAAATACAACACAAAATCTTTGTGCACCCTTGACTAAAAGTCTTTTGAATAACATCCAAAAGTCGCTTTACACCTAGCCAAGTCAGATACTCTTCTCGAATATCTGGGTTGCTGTTACAGAGGTCTAACACAACCCGTTTAACCTCTTGTTCAGTATATCCTTCAATAGGCCACACTTGTTCGATGTCACTTAGTACCAGAGACATCTCCTATTTTACCGGCTTAGTAAAATAGTTAGAACACGTTCCAGTGTTTTGACCTTTTGAAGTACAGAATTAACCTTTTCAATCTGATTTCCGATTTGGGTTAATTCTTCGTTTAGAGCAAATATACGATACATCGTATAATTCACTCTCCTATCTAAGTTTTCAAGCTTCTGGGTCAAAAGCTCTAACTTATCTACGACAGTATTTAACAAACCGATTTCCGGTTTTACCTCGAGTGCATGATCCAAATGAAAATAAGTCTTATTCATACAGACTTGATCATTCGAACCATTATTCATGCTACCAAGAACTTTCAACAGGTTAACAGGCATAAACACATACCCCTCGTCTTCCAAAGCTTTGATACCATTTATACGCACATAATATTTGTTATACCCATATACATTATACACTAGTCGTTCCTTGTTAATTAAGTCAGGTTGATCTACAATCATATAAAAAGAAAAAAGAAAAAGATAAAAGGGAGGTTTTCTTTTTCACATTTATAATTATCTCTTATTTTTCTCTTTTTACCTCAATTTTTTTTTTTTTTTTCCAACTAATCTCTCTTTCTCTCATCCTTTTTCCTCAATTTCTGTAATCCATGGTAAAAACATGTCCCGTCTCTTTCACATACCTAACATACTTTATTAATTGTATAATAAAATAAGCTCCTGCCTTTTTTATTTTCCTTACACTTTTTTCTCCACTTTCGGGGGGGCTTCGATGTCATTCTTTTACTAAATCTTTCTTTCTTCTCTCTTCCTTATTTGTTGATGATGGTGATACAGTAATACTTTATATAAGAATAACTTCTATGTAGTTATAAAAAATTATAATCCCAACTTGAGTTAGTTATAAATAAGAATAAATTTTACATTATAATAAGTTATAATTCTTCTATGTCCTGTCTTAAGGAACTTGCCTCTACATAGTAATAATTATATGTATATTACAAAAAATATGTACTATGTTACATTAAAGTTTAAGATGAAATGAAATATTTATCTAAAATTGTTTGGGATAATGATTTATGCTTTAGAGTTGTTACTACATCTTTTATCTTGCAGATATGCAATAAGTCACCAGCATGACACCCTCTTGTTGAAGCCAAAATAATTCTAGTTTCTCAAGCATGTTTAGAGTTTTTTGGCATGAAATTTTGATATTTCCGTACTATCATCCTCAGGATTATCTTTTTTTTTTTTTTTCTTGTCTAATTCCAGTAATGATTTTTTCTTCAGTTAAAACATATAAGACTTGTTGCTCATTTGGATGATTGAGTAAGACATTAATATCCATTTGATTAGTATAGTGAAGTTGTTGAATCTGATCACTCAATTCTGCAATGACTCCTTGATATTAATTTATGTACTATCCTAATGCTACTAAAACAATGAATTGAAACCCTAATACTACTAACACATGAATTATAAAATCAAAAATCAAAACAATAGTTCTTATAATTACACCTTTATTAAGTTATAACCTCCTCATAGTAATAAATTTAGTTGGTTTCAATATTATGACCATAAAGAGGTTCTACTGTAGTTGTTATGACGATTTTCTTTCCGGTGAATCTCAAATGGTTTAAGATAATTTTAATATTTTTATAAATGAGTATCTTAACTCATAGAATGCATTTGGTTCAAAGAATGTTAGATTACTGAGATTCTTTAGGAAAATGGAGGTTATTATATTACCTCCAATATTACCCATAATAACTACTATTAGTATTAAAAGATTATCAAAATCTTATATTATTTGACAATCAAATATGATAATTAAATAATATAAGATGACATAACTCAAATAATCTCGTATAACTCCATTTTGTTCTTATCGTACAAAAATCATAATCATATTAATACACTTAATTTATATAAAGAACGAAAACCCACATTTGATCTTATAAGATTCTCAAAGAAACGAAGTAAATATCCGGTTGTTGGTCTTTTAATTTTGTATATTCCCAGCTGCCCTGCACATACGCGGAAAATGCAAGGGGCCACAGTTGGACTACTCTGGTAGTAGACTCTGAAATTGATTGGGAATATGAAAAAGGGTCTTTCCTGACTCCTTCCTCCTTCACACCAATCATTTCTGGAACTAAGTAAATTGCACATACGCGGAAAATGCAAGGGGCCACAGTTGGACAAGTCTGGTAGTAGACAGTGAAAGTCAACGAAAGAGAGAGGCGTTTGTTTTGAGTTGATTAATTTTAAGCCTTTCGTCTTTCATTTTGCTTCCAAACTCCAAAAGCATGCAATGGCAGACATACATGACTCAGTTTCTGGAACAAATCATGATGAATTTGTGAATGACGAGCTTTTCTACAATCTGTTGGCTGCTGCTGACTCACATGAAATTGAGAACCAAGGTGATCATGATCCTCTCTGTTCTAAGCAGCATCCTCTGCTCAATCTTGAAGGAATATCGGCTTCAACGTCGATAATGGAAGTTAATGAAGCTGACTGGGACTGGCTTCATCCCTCTCAGCCTGGAAATACTAGTCTTTGCTCGCCTGCTTTTGGTTCTGAAGGAGACAACAATGTTGAATTGGTGAGGAATCATCAACAAGAGATTCAAAATCTGGTAAAGTAAATGAATATTACGTTATTTAATATACTTGGTTATAATTTTCTCTTCTTTATTGTGTGAGAAATTTAAGGTCTGAAGTTTCCTTGGTTGGACTTTTTAGTTTCCTGCAATAGAGATTGTTGTTTCTTGTAGTTGTTGAATGGTTATTAGAAAGAAAATTAGTTGACAGAAAGGAAGAAGTACCGGTTAATAACAAATATGTATATGGATCAATTATGTGTTCCATTTTATCAGATATTGATGTTATATGAAATCTGTATTTTGTTTTACATTGAATATCAGTGATATCACCTTGGATGCTATCAAATCACGTATTGATTACAAAGAAACTATCAATGATCGTGGGATTAGTTCGCTCATACCATTTTCTGACTTACAATATAACACATCAGTGGCATGGTACTCTTTCTGGTGCTATGTTAATCTAGAATTGAAATCTTTTCACAACAAATAATTAGAATTCCTTTTCGATATAGAACAGTCTTGTCAACAAATTAATTTGAGAGTTTTATTGGACAATACAGCAAAAATGGGTATTTTAACCAGCACATTTTTCATGCTGAATCAATGACCTATGTATAAAGTAGGAAGAATTCTTTGAATTTGAAGTAAAAAGAAAAAAGATCTGCTGACAGTTTTCTATTTTTTTTTAGTTAGAAGAGTCCTCTGAATATTTGGTCATGTATTATTGATCAGTCGGTACATTTTGGAATATCAATAAAGAAGAGAGGAAGAGGAAATGCTCATTACATTAATAAAAAGATATAGCAGTCCTCCCATAGATAAGTAGCTGAAGTAATTGAGTGTTAGAGCCAATAGAATCGAAAGAAATATGTTTGGTTTAGGAAGGGGTCATGGAAGTTTGGAGGTTGATAATTGTCTTGTCTTTTAATACATTCTTTCACCATGAAGATCAATTGATTCTGTTATCAGATTAACACTAGCTTTCAAAAATGTATTATCTTGAGATGTGTAAGAAACAAGAAGTATTATTACAGAACTTGGATGTGTGCAAAAGTCACAGCGAAAACATTTATTTTGTAATTCTCTAGGAAAGCAAATAATAAGGTTTAACTTGTTAGCTGTTTGTAAGCATTCAAAATTCTACCAACTGGTTTGTTTCTCTTTTTGATGTCAGGTTCTGATGGAAAAAGGTTATAGAATTGTAACTTCTAATGTTTTAATAATACTAAAACAATGTGTCCGAAAGATTATTTGTAATCAGTTTTCAAACTTAGGTACATCTACTTTTCATTTGTAACAGGAAATGGAAAATTCAAACCAATACATTCCCAGTAGGGATATTCCTAGATTGTCATTAGAGAATGATGACAATGATGTGATGTCATCCGAGTATAGTGGTGGTGGTGAGATACATTCTGAACCAACTGTCAATTTAAAGTAAGTTAATGCTCAGTCTCCAAAAATTGGGATGGCGTTTTCATCTGAAGAGGAGGCTTACAATTTCTACAAAGCTCATGCTAAAGAAACAGGTTTCAAGGTAAGGAAAGGAAAGATACGACGATTGTCAGATAGAAGCATTAGAACAAAATTTTTCTTGTGTTCAAAACAGGGTTTTCGAATGCAGAAGCAGGCTAACAAGACACCAAACTATCAGAGAAAAGAGACCAGAACAGGTTGTGAAGCCATGGTTCATTTTACAGTTGACAATGGAAAGTGGCTGATCTCAGATTTTAATCCTAAGCACAATCATGACCTTCAAGGAAAGTCGGATATCATTGTAGGTTCATCCACCAATGTCTCATGTGATCATTCTATGAGTACCACTATGAATGAAGCTGGGACAGTGAAAGAAGCAGGGGCTGCAAATTCTGTGGGATTTCATAATATGGAATGCACTAGCATCTTAAATGATGAGAAAGTCAATGGCCTACAACTTGTAGATGGACAAAGTTTACTTAATTATTTCGGACGTATGCAAGTAGAGGATCCTTCATTTTTGTACACAGTGCGAGTCAATCATAGAAACTGCCTAATGAATTTCTTCTGGATGGATGGAAGGTCAAAGATAGACTATGATTACTTCGGGGATGTTGTCATTTTGGACACAACTCTTCGAGTTGATGCATATAATATGACATGTGCACCATTTCTAGGAATTAATCATCATGGGCAATATATCTTATTTGGAGGCGCTTTGTTGCTTGATAACAGCAGAGACTCATTCCTTTGGTTGTTCAGGACTTTTCTGGAAGCGATGGGAAACCGTCAACCAAAAACAATATTCACTGATGGGTGTCAAGCACTGTCGGACGCACTAGAGGTGGTGTTGCCAGATACTAAACATCTTCTTGGTCTACGGTATATCTTCCAAAATACTGCAGAGCATCTTTCCAGCTATTCTGGACAAACAGATTTTGACAGCCTCTTCAATAAATGTATCTTTGATTGTGCATCAGAGGAGGAATTTGAGTCCATGTGGGGGTCTTTGCTGGAGCAGTATAATCTTTATGAAAATTCATGGCTTAAGGATCTGTATGCATTGAGGGGAAAATGGTCTCAGTACACCTGTAAGAGTATCTTCTCTGCCGGCATGCGATCACCTCAAGGCTATGAGAGCTTTTGCAAAATTTTGCAGAATTGGACTAATGAGATGATGACTCCATTGAAGTTTATTCAAAAATACTTAAAGATAGCAGAACAACAGCGTACAGAAGAACTATATGAAGATTTTCACTGCCATGGAAGTGCAGCAACAACAATTTTAAGAAGCAATGCAATGGAGAAAGAAGCAGCAAAGATATATACTTCTGCAATATTCAAGCTTTTCCAAGCTGAGTTGCTTGAATGTCTGTCAGTAGCAGTAGAAGAGATTCCAAGTGATGGGATGAAAACTATATTCAAGTTAACAGAGGGAGACCCTCGTAAGGAGAAAATTGTTGAATTCAATAGTTCGGAATCCCATGTCATATGTAGCTGTAAAAAATATGAATCAGTTGGAATCTTATGTGTCCATGCTCTGAAGGTATTGAATGCTAGAAATATCTTTCATATACCTCCTCAATACATCTTAAAGAGGTGGAAAAAGTCTGCAAAAGATGGGATGGTTGCAGATTGTCATGAAGCAGAGGTTCCTGCTGAAAGCCAAAGGCATTTGCATCCACTTAAGAGCAAACTTATGCACAATGCCCTGAATGTCATCACTAAAAGTTTAGCTAACGAGGGGACTTCGATGATAGTTGACAATCATCTAAAAATGGCATTGAGAAAGGTAGAAGATGCTTTAAGGACTAAAAATATTGGACATCTTAACACAATTGATGTTGATGTTCACTGCAACGATGATGCTGTTAGTGCAAATCACATTGATTGTACGGAATCAGAACAGACTATAGCGAGTCCTTCAAGGATAAATCGACAGGAAGTGTCAAAAAACATAATGAAATGTCAGTTGAAGAGGAAATATGAAAATGAAGTGAGAGGGAAGAACTGTAAGTTTAGTGATGGTGTGATTCTCCATTATATTCTCAATTGTTTGGTCTTTTTTAATGCTTATAAATATAATACACATATTTAGGGGGAGGTTGTCAAGGATCAAGAAAGGGAGCTAGTCGTTCATATTGCATAGGAGAAAATTCCCGACAATCAGCCTGCAACTCTCCTCGACCTCCGTTACCTTCACAATCCACTTTCCACCAAATCAGACAACCCAGCAAGTCTATGGGTAACATCCAGGTAAATTGATATTAAGACTATAATTTAATAATTTGAGGCAGTACTTCTGTGCTGTTTATATATATGTATTAAACATGACAGTAGGTAATCTTTATTACTACAATGCTCAATCCACATTTGAAATTGCTTATAAACTTACTAACCATATGTCAAGATAAAACAAGAGAAGAAATTAAATGAACTGTATTGGCGTTCTCTGTTAAGTACACTATACTGTGTGTGAGACACATCATGCTATTGCCAGTTGATCATCATATTTATCTTGTTTAGTTTAGATTTCACCATTAGAATGTTCAAACATTTATTTTTTAATTTACTAATAAATAATCTTTGTAATGCTCAGCATCCATGTTTTATATTTCAATTTTTTATAAACTGTCTTATTAAATATTGTAATTAGTTTATTGTTGTTAGTAAGGGTCTTCATTTCATTTTTCTTTGAAAGGATACCAAGAAACATGGATTGCACTTATTGGCGAATAGGACGGCTGCGGCAGAAAAGAAGATCATGGTAGTATCTTCACACTATCTTAGTGGTCTTTCATTAGTGACATTTATCTTTACTTATATTGTGCGGTTGGAAACTTAGGTAATAATGGAACAATTGCAAAAGGAGATGTTGAAGTTTAGACACGAGAACCAAAAAATCTTCAATTCATTGAATGTTGTTGATTCTTGTTACAACCAAACCACCAAGAAGAATAAGTTCATCTGCCAGGAGAAATCGGCCTTGCAGCATGAATTCCAAGGAATAGGAAGTGATAAAGCTCAAGATTTAGACGCAGGTGAGTCTGTCTAGTTAGCTATCTTATAGCAAGTACTTACCTATTTTCCTTTTGTTTTAACTCCAGAAAGAAACTTTACCTTCTATGATCCTAAATCCCTTTTGTTTCTTGATTGGCAGAGAACTGAATGCCAAGCAGGACAAACTGAACATTGAAAATTTCAAAATTGAATCAAATATAGGCTGTCTGAGTAATCCTAATGAGGACATACAACATCAATGTTGACAAATCTATGCATCCAGACATGTATCTCTTACCATTTGGCTTTTTTTTTTTTTTCTTTTTTTTTAGTATTATCATTTTAATTTTTTATGGGTTGGCTTAGACTACGTATTTAATTGTCAATTGTTGTAGTGTTAAATTAATATTGTGGGAGAAACCTTTGAGACGGTGTTGAATTCTATAACTTCTTTTACATATATGGAAAGGATGCCAGGGGCATCTAGATGTAACACAAAAGAGATGTAAAATATTATTATTATCCTTACACATATTTTTTCTAAATACAACTCGTTCTCCAGACATGTATCCTCGGGATTCTCATTGAGAGATATTCAGAGGATACCTGACTGGAGGGGGGTTTTACATGAACCACTGGCCTCTACTCTACAAAACCTATCTAACCCCAGCACTTGGTAGCCCCTCATTCGCTGGTCGTGATTCACGTATTAGGTTGATTTTTCTGACCAAATTCTGACATCCAAAATTCAATCAAACACCACCCTTTGAACCACTAGCCTTCACTCTACAAAAACCCTCTAAACCCGGTACTTGATAACCTCTCATTCATCGTCGATCAAGTTAAGGATTTGGTGAACAGTTAAATTTGCTAACCCGGACCGGAGAGGGAGTCAACTGATGACCAGTCTGACCTACCGATCCAATCATGTTTTCATAACACTGATATACGCAACAAAAATTCTTCAAATAAGAGTTAAAGCATTTATTATTCAGAAGCAAATCTCAAGCTTATATTTTGAGGTTTTACTTCTTAAGTTGTATTATTGTTTTGAAGTTTTATGCCTAAAAAATCAGGTCTAATATGAGCTTACATCAGCAAGCACCAATTAGAGTTCAAGAAGGTTTTGCGTCGCCCAGAATCTGCCACGTTGCCCCAAGACAGAGAAAATACGATTGCCACCAACACCTTGAACTCAGCGGCTATAAATAGAGGACTCCCTCTCACAAAATAGAGATCTCTAATTTTCATAAACGAAATAGCAAAGACAACCCATGGGAAAGAGACTAGCTTAATCTTCTCTCTGAATACCAAGCTCTTGTAATTCAGCTCGTTATTCGCAAACCCTTTGTAACTCGGCTAATAACCTAGAATACTTATATAAAAGAAAATAGTGAATGTAAAAATCGCTTTGAACATCTGAACCACTATAAAATTATTGCTATCTCATTTATTATTCAGTTTTTGCATTTTATTATAACCTTGTCCTAACTCTCTAAAATTCGTGTAGTTTTTAAGACCTACTTATCACTTTGCACATACGAGGTTGTTGGTGTCAAAATCAAGCATTACACCGAGTTACTTATTACTTAATCACAAAATAACATGATTTATATGTATCACTAATATAATATCTTATTAATTATTATATAAAACTTGAGATGGGTAACACTGTTCTATCGGGTATAGAGGAGAATATTATTTTACCCCTCACGACAATTCATGTAAACGTAAATATATCCACAAGTTTTAGAAAGTAAAAAAAGCTCCCAACAATTTTACCTAGAGGTGCGAGATTAACAAAAGATGTGAAATTATAAAATTAAAAAAATTAGAATATTTATTTATATATTTAAAAAAAAAAAAAAANGCTAAATCATGGAAATGAGCAAAAGCTCATATCACGTGCATTACAGAGTGTAAAGACAAGGAAAAGCAAGTGGCTAAGCATGGGTCAAAAGGCTCTAAAGGGCCAGCGAATACTAGTCGCGAGACAAGAAGAATACCTGTAGCTTTATGACTCGATGGCAGTATGTCGCATCATGAGCCATCTCATGCCACATCGCAAGCACACCCCCACAAGAGTGCTCGATAGGGAGATTCCCACCATTGCCAAAATGATGGTCCTGATAATCATTGTGAGGGAAATACCCACCGTCCGCAGGTTGTTTCCGACCACCGCGGAGGTAGGGAGAACTTCTTAAGCCATTTAGTACCTTTATAGGGCTCCAATCAGCATGCATCAAGGTATGTTGAAGGCTCCAGCCAAGGCAGGAAAGATTTCGACCTGCAATCCTTCCTTAATCGCAATCATAGAAAACTTACCTACATTGCGGAAAGTGATCCCCAGAGGACTCTACTTCCTCAAATATAAGAGTTATAGCGAGCTCTTGATCAGCTTAGAGCTCGACATAACGAGTAGAGGCAAGTCACCGAGGCATCTCCCTTCTCTCTAATAGCTTTGACTACTCCTCTCCCATCAAGATTTAGAATGCCTGACATGAGAGCATTCGATGTGAATCTTGATCCGCAAGATCATCTCTATGAGTTTAACGACCTTATGGAGCTTCACCAAGTTTCCAACTTGGCAAAATGTCACTACTTAGTAATGATTCTGACTGCCCACGTCAAACGTTGGTTCAGATCGCTTCCACCAAAGTCTATCAACTCGTGGCAACAGATGAGTTTGTTATTTTTTAGACACTTCCAGGCCAATCGAAAGTTCTCAATGCTGTTAAGCTATCTTAGCAATATACAGCAGGAGAGGAATAAGTCTCTCCAGTCCTACATTGATAGGTTTCACAGAGAATTGAATAAGGTGGCTAATACACCCAAAGATTCAGTTCGATTACTGTCGAAGTTCGCCTCCAAACCGACCTATAGAAGAAACTACAATCTAAAAATGATATTTCTCTCACTCGCTTCTACAACCTATCAGAAAAATATCTAAGAATAGAAATTCAGTGGTAACTTTAAATCGCCATGACCCCGAGCCTTCGACCAATGCTCTTAGTCGGAGGGAGGAAAACCGGGGTGAGAGTAGAAGAAGATCTGATCGCAAGTGGGCTAATGACGATCAAAGAAAGGGAAAGAAATATCGGTTTGAGCCCAAGAAATCCTATGCCCAAGTTCCTCATTGCAATCGTGACCGAGATCTATTCACTCCACTCAATACATTGGTTTCAGCTATTCTAGATAAGTCAGAGGAAGCTAATCTTCTTAGAGAGCCAGAGCCCATAAAAAAGTCTACATCTAAAAGGAACAACAAGAAATATTACCATTACAATTGGAATAATGGGCACCATATCGATGAGTGCTAAGCTCTTAAGCAGACAATTGAAGACCTCATTCAAAAGGGGCACTTCAAGGAGTATGTTGATGGTCCAACTCCCACTAAGGAGAATGATCAAGAGGGCGATGGAAAGAAGTGCTAAGGTCGCAAGGGTCTCCACCTGGTAAGGACTATCTTTGGGGGATCGTATATCGTCGGGAACTCTCAGGGTGCTTAGGAAAAAAATGCTCGAGAGGCTCGACATGAGCCCTAAATGTCATAAATTTGGCACCGTGACTCAACAAGGTGCGTGGAGAAAAAGAGATTACCTTCTTTGAAAAAGAAGTGATACGACTGCATCACCCTCATGAGGATGCCCTCGTCATCACAGCTAAAATATGAAGGTGCAAAGTCTGCAGGATGTTGGGGGACAATAGGAGCGTCATGAATATCTGTTTCAGTGAGCATTCAAGGAAATGCAATTAGAAAAGACAGATTTGAAGCCTATCTCAATTCCTCTGTATCGGTTTACCGGAGATCATCTGATTCCCAGAGGAACAATCTTGCTTCTTGTCATATTGGGGGAGACCCATGAAGTGACCAAAATGACAGAATTTCTGGTAGTGGATTGAAAATAAGCTTTTAATGGCATCTTGAGATGACCTCTACTATGGAATTTCAAGGCTGTTACTTTTATTTATCATCTGAAGATGAAGTTTTCCACTCTAACAAGGTGTGGGGAAGTTAAGGGATCTCTGCATGAATCTCATGACTACTATGTTAGAGTCGTGTAGATGACATGCAAGGGGAAACGAAAGCCTATGGGC